CTACCCCCTGATGGGTCAGGGGTGAGGCGAATTCTTGGAAATCCGAGACAAAGGAACAAAGAAATCGGAAGGAAGGAAAGTTCTAGAGTTTAAATTAAACTAAAACTATACGGACTAATAATAATAATAATAATATTAATAAAAGAAAAACAGGCGTGTAGCCACAATGTTAAACTTAATAGTCATTTGTTTTCTAACTAATTTGTTTTAAGACCAGACGTCCACGGAAATTTCCAAAATTTACAACTTTTCGGTCACTGTCATTGAACTAAAAAAAATTCTCTCTTTATTACATCTAATATTAAGAAGAAATCAGTCCCCACTGTACTCGGCTTTAGATTGGTTCGGTTAAGCTTTTGTTTAAATAAAATTTCGGCTCTTTCGTCAGGGTTTTATTTATGTCCCCAATTCCCTAATCACTTAATTATTTAACTAATTCTTAAGTAGAAGTAAGTCGAAACCGGTTACTTTGTACTCGAATATTTGTAGTCTCGGGAAAAAAGTGGAAAGACTAATTTTTATGACAATGGATACATAAATTGTAAATTTAAGGAATATAAATTCTAGAGCTTTTTCTGTCCTCGTGCATCTCTCTCATTCATTAAATTTAGTTGTAAATGATCCTACCAAAGTGACATTTAATTTTTTAACATTATACAAGAATTGTACACATTTTTTTCTACATCCCCTTAAAGATGGGATATACGAAATCGTAGTATCACTGGTTTAACATTAAAATCTGTGAGTAATATAAAATCGGAGAGCGGAATAAATATATGAAATATTTTAATGGATTTTTTTAACTCCTGTCAACTATACAGAATTATCATAAAAACATACCAGTAAATACTTATCAGTTGGGTTATGTTATAAATCTACGCTAGAGAATGCCCTTGTGCCGATTTACGAAATGCAAATCCTACTGTACGCAAGATATGTCGATGATGTGGTTATTTTATGGAATGTCAAACCCAACTTACAGCAATTCATAAAGAACGTTAATGACAACATGTTTGGCCTCGAAACTGAACTAGACCAAGAAAGTAATACGCTCATACACTTTCTGGATTTATATATACAACTTGACAGCAAAGGGAATTTTCTCACTAAAGTCTATAGAAAGCCTACGTACAACCCGATATTTATCCCACGGAATTCACACGACCCGCCTAAGTATAAGCTAGCCGCATTCCAGGCGCTCATCGCGCGAGCTTATTCGCACTGCAGCAGTACCCAGGACAGAAACGAAGAGCTCTGTTATATCAATAAACTAGCTAAGAGACATGGGATTAATATTAAAGCTATAAAAAGCCTATGTAAGACACGTAGCAAGATGAGAAGTCTACAAAATACAGAAGAGTTCACAACGATGGAATACAAGGCCTCGCTAAGCAACGTATATAGGCGAATAGGAGCTGCTACAAAGAAAAGAATAATATACAAAAGGAGTCCCACTATTTATCAGTTACTAAGGGCAGACAAAGATGTTGTGGACAAGAACACTCTTCCAGGAGTCTACAGAATTCCGGTTACAGACACACGAAGGCAGAATATGATGTTCTACATCGGAGCTACCGGAAGATCCATCAAACAAAGGCTGTTAGAGCATCAGAGAAACATAAGAAAAGAACAGCCGTGCACAGCGCTGGCGACGTACGTCTTAGCCGACCCACAAGAGGTCAAAGCGGAGTGGGACCGAGCTAAATTGATACAAATAGTACGTGACAAAAAGCACCTCAGATACGCTGAAGCCTGGCATATCTGCAAAACAAGCCAAAAAGGTTTAGCTATCAACTTCCGGGATGCAAGCAAAATATCGGCAGCATGGCGAACATGCATACTATAAGAGTCAAGAAAGTTAGCATAGCAGCAACTCTCTTAACTTTTGTTTCTATATGCACTTTATTGTATTTTAATGTATTTTACTGGTATTATTTTAACTAATTACAGCCAATATGTATAGATGGCGCTTTTACGATAGAATATCTTTTTAAAAATGTTCCAAAAATAACGCTTGTATCGGTAACGCAAATTTTTAGTTCGAATTTCGATTGTTCAGTTTTTTCTTGATAAAGACCATCGAATATGGTCGAAAACGTTTGAATTTATCTATTAAATTACGGCTGCATATGTAAAGGTTTGTTTGAGTGTATTTAGTTAAAAATTTTGATATGACAGAACATGTAAAATACTGTTTAAGCATTGTGATCAACTGTTATTCAGAATTATTCGTTAAAAAATTATTTAAAAATGATTCCTATTTCCACGTGACAGTTTAACATGTTACAAACAAACAACTTTATGAAAACCAGATACATTATGATAATAAAGCCAACCACTGTTGTATGCCATTAGGCTATATAACAGCTATATTAATAATACATTACCAAAACTTTAACCTTATAGGGAGGCATTAGGTGCCATCTCATACATGTTACTTTTGCTTTCCAGACTTCAAATTTATAAGACTACCAAATTCTGCATTAATTAGTAACTAAAACTGGAAGTGATGAATAATTTAAAGTAGCAAAAAAGTTTAAAACTGGCAAAATGGTTGGTAATTTAAAATTTTTCAGTGACTCCTGAATATGCCTTCATATTATTTACAATATGGAAAAAAAAGGCTTAAGTTATTAATTACTCCAAAATAACTATTACTTTATGTTTCTATTTAAATTGGTTTACGTGAAAATATAGACAAAATTTATTCAACTGTTAAAAGATAGCAAGTATTATTAAAAAGAAAAAAATTCAGTTTAAAAAAAAATACTTTTTCAATTTCATAGATTGCTGTGTGTGAAGACCATCATTTTGACATTATAAAAATCAATTTCCTATAGTTATGAAACATAACATTAATGATATATTTATTACCATATTACACAAATAAAACAATATAAATTTTTGTACAAACCTTAGAAAAAAAATTACATTAAAATGTTTATATACATACATACATACATATATATATATATACAGTGGTGCCTTGTATAACGTACNAGTTTGATTAGAAATTTGTCAATATTATTTGCAGAATTTTATTTAGAAAATAAATATTTTATTAATTTGATGAACATTTTATAAAATTTATAGAAAGAATTTTAAACAATTCAATGCAATGTAGTTAAATTTAGCAGTAATATAAACCTGTAGAAAAATTATTGCTGCTACTACCCCAGCTTGATTACCTTTGCTTTTATATTGTACTGATTGCACTATAACAATGTTACTGAACAATGTTTCCAAAGCATTGGATCCACAAGATTTTATATTCCAAAGCAACATATTTCAGACTAATCTTCCACACATTTTCATAGGTTTTAACCCATGGAGATTGTTTACAGAAGAGATTCTAGATACTCACTTGCATCTCACTTTTAACCAACATTCAACTGATAACACTGTATGACCAGGAAGATTTAAAAAATGAATTTTGTGGACTGTATTTTTCCAAATTAATGACTACGTGAGTAGTTGACTGTGAACTTTACATTTATTATTATTATTTGCATTTGTGAAAAAAATAAATAAAAAAAATTGCCAAATTCATTACTCTAGTTATATGAAAAAGCATTTTCACATTTTCCATAAAAAAAAATAATTTATCCCCATCTGGCATTTATAATATATATATTTTTGATATTTTAGTATATAAATATTGAATATAATTTAAATATAATAATTCCTTAATTCTTAAATATATTAATTTTTAGTAAAATGAAGTACAGTACTGTGCATTACAGCAGTAATTATGATTTTTCTCTCTGGTTTATTGAAACTGACAGAAGCAGAATTTTAATTTGTTCAAATAAGTTAATACAAAACATATATTTATTTATTTTTTAAATTTCAGTGATATATTTTTAATATGTATATATAATTATTCTTCTCTACACACCAGAACGTACTAAAAATAACTCTTTATCTTAAACCTCGTAACCGGAGTGAATGTATAATACTTCCGCAAACGTTTTCGACGCCCCTTCTGGGCTCTTCCTCAGGCTTTTTTTTGATAAATACTGAGCTGGACGTTGAAAATCGAACATTTTCTTTTGATTCGTTTACCTTTTGAATCATCACACGTGGAAACCTTCAAACCAAATTTAAAATGAAAAAGAGAAAAAAAGAGCAATGTTTTGCGTACAGCGCATGTGCGTTGCCGTGCTTTCGACGTAAACTTTTAAAAGACATCATCCAGCAGGAACTGCCATGCTGTTGAAAGGGCTATCTCTTCTTTAAAATTGATGCATGTTTTGCTTCCAACCATTTAAGATGTTCGGGGTGGGTGGTAGTGAGGATAATGTGCGCCGCATCAAAGTCCGTTGTGATGTTCTTATCGGTCGCATATGTTGAGAGAGCCGTAGTAGTTCTGCTGTGTTGTATGTCAGCCTTATGTTCTTTAATCCTAATCCCCAATGAACGTCTGGTTGAGCCAATATAAACCATTTCTCTGTCGAACCTGTGGTCTGTTAGGGGGATGGTATAAATTCCAGGTAATTTGACCGGGTTTGGTGGCTGTTTTCCATTCCGGAGTATTTGGAAAATGGTTTGGCATCTTCTGTATGTTATATTGACCTGACGTCTCCTGGCTATATCTATATACACCGATTTTAACTGTGGATTAAATGTGATGGGAATCCTTTCTATATTTTCTTCCTCACTCCGTATTTGTCTTTGTGTCTGGTTGTCTGGTTCCTGGCTACTTCTATATCGTTTATACAATCCCTGTACGAGGTTGGTGTAGCCATGGGCCACTGCTATCCCCTCTATGTGCCTCATTTATTGAGTTAGCGCTTGGATAGAGGAGGAGTGTGTAAAAGCCCTCTTGACCAAAGACCTAAAGGCTGCTACCTTGTACTGAAAAGGATCACAGGATCCCATCGGAATATACGTTGTGGTGTTACTGGTTTTTTGGTATACTGCCGTGTGTATGTTCGGACCTTCAAAGGAGATCATTCAAGTGCCTTCTCATATGTACAGTACATATGAGAGGCATTTGAATGATCAGGGACTTCCTCTTTCCTAAAGTTGGTGATACAACAATGCACCGAGAAGTTCTGGAGTTAGCCCACTTGATATGTTACAACTCGGTATTCCAATTCAATGGGATCATGTACAAACAACGTAAAGGTATTCCAATGGAAAGTCCAGTTTCTGGAAATCTTTGCGAGATGGTAGTCAGACAATTAGAAAACAACATTCTTCCTCGCTTCCTACCCAATATGCTACTATATAAACGTTACACAGATGACATCATCATCCTGTGGAAGTCTAAACTGAATCTTAAACAGTTTGTGGATATGGTGAACAGCAATCCTTACGGACTGTTGTTTGAAATAGAGCAGCACAGCAAATCAAATGTCCATTTTTTGGATATCGAAATCTCCTTTGAAGGTCCGAACATACACACGGCAGTATACCAAAAAACCAGTAACACCACAACGTATATTCCGATGGGATCCTGTGATCCTTTTCAGTACAAGGTAGCAGCCTTTAGGTCTTTGGTCAAGAGGGCTTTTACACACTCCTCCTCTATCCAAGCGCTAACTCAATAAATGAGGCACATAGAGGGGATAGCAGTGGCCCATGGCTACACCAACCTCGTACAGGGATTGTATAAACGATATAGAAGTAGCCAGGAACCAGACAACCAGACACAAAGACAAATACGGAGTGAGGAAGAAAATATAGAAAGGATTCCCATCACATTTAATCCACAGTTAAAATCGGTGTATATAGATATAGCCAGGAGACGTCAGGTCAATATAACATACAGAAGATGCCAAACCATTTTCCAAATACTCCGGAATGGAAAACAGCCACCAAACCCGGTCAAATTACCTGGAATTTATACCATCCCCCTAACAGACCACAGGTTCGACAGAGAAATGGTTTATATTGGCTCAACCAGACGTTCATTGGGGATTAGGATTAAAGAACATAAGGCTGACATACAACACAGCAGAACTACTACGGCTCTCTCAACATATGCGACCAATAAGAACATCACAACGGACTTTGATGCGGCGCACATTATCCTCACTACCACCCACCCCGAACATCTTAAATGGTTGGAAGCAAAACATGCATCAATTTTAAAGAAGAGATAGCCCTTTCAACAGCATGGCAGTTCCTGCTGGATGATGTCTTTTAAAAGTTTACGTCGAAAGCACGGCAACGCGCATGCGCTGTACGCAAAACATTGCTCTTTTTTTCTCTTTTTCATTTTAAATTTGGTTTGAAGGTTTCCACGTGTGATGATTCAAAAGGTAAACGAATCAAAAGAAAATGTTCGATTTTCAACGTCCAGCTCAGTATTTATCAAAAAAATGCCTGAGGAAGAGCCCAGAAGGGGCGTCGAAAACGTTTGCGGAAGTATTATACATTCACTCCGGTTACGAGGTTTAAGATAAAGAGTTATTTTTAGTACGTTCTGGTGTGTAGAGAAGAATAATTATATATACATATTAAAAATATATCACTGAAATTTAAAAAATAAATAAATATATGTTTTGTATTAACTTATTTGAACAAATTAAAATTCTGCTTCTGTCAGTTTCAATAAACCAGAGAGAAAAATCATAATTACTGCTGTAATGCACAGTACTGTACTTCATTTTACTAAAAATTAATATATTTAAGAATTAAGGAATTATTATATTTAAATTATATTCAATATTTATATACTAAAATATCAAAAATATATATATTATAAATGCCAGATGGGGATAAATTATTTTTTTTTATGGAAAATGTGAAAATGCTTTTTCATATAACTAGAGTAATGAATTTGGCAATTTTTTTTATTTATTTTTTTCACAAATGCAAATAATAATAATAAATGTAAAGTTCACAGTCAACTACTCACGTAGTCATTAATTTGGAAAAATACAGTCCACAAAATTCATTTTTTAAATCTTCCTGGTCATACAGTGTTATCAGTTGAATGTTGGTTAAAAGTGAGATGCAAGTGAGTATCTAGAATCTCTTCTGTAAACAATCTCCATGGGTTAAAACCTATGAAAATGTGTGGAAGATTAGTCTGAAATATGTTGCTTTGGAATATAAAATCTTGTGGATCCAATGCTTTGGAAACATTGTTCAGTAACATTGTTATAGTGCAATCAGTACAATATAAAAGCAAAGGTAATCAAGCTGGGGTAGTAGCAGCAATAATTTTTCTACAGGTTTATATTACTGCTAAATTTAACTACATTGCATTGAATTGTTTAAAATTCTTTCTATAAATTTTATAAAATGTTCATCAAATTAATAAAATATTTATTTTCTAAATAAAATTCTGCAAATAATATTGACAAATTTCTAATCAAACTGATCATATATTTTAAACATTTAATACAATGAAATTGTAAAAAAAACAAAAGATTGAGTTAATTCTCTAGAACTATGAATTAGATGAAAAGAAAATCAAAAAGCAGAAGTGAATATTAGGAAAAATTTACTAATATATCTGACATACATATTAATAAAATTTAAGAATTTGTTAATATATTTGATAAATAATAATTAATTGTTCTAGCTTTAACATTCCATAATAATGGTTTACATCTGTCTAGCAGGATTATCCTATATTTCAAATAGTTTTGGAGATTAATAACAAGTGATTAGGATTGATTAAACTTCAACTTTAATTTAAATAACTAGTTTAATAATTTATGGTTTCTAAGTCACTAGTAGTATATTATTTTCATAAAATAATATATCTTTATCTTCAAAATGAAATTTATTTTTCTTTAATTTAGAGTTTAAAATATTTTAAAACAGTCATGTAGATAAAACAGTATGAATATAGTTAAAAAAGATTCATATAAGAATTTTCATTTTTACTTATGAGGCAAGTGAGTAAGTGCGTGTACATATAAAAAAATCTTTATTTTGAACAATGTTATTCATTTAGTTTGGTGTTTGGTTTTCATTGATTAACAACATGCTGCTTAATCAAACACTAAGATAAATATTAGCTTAAAAAAATTGTTTCTTCTAATTAGAGAAAAAGATCTTTTAAAAATTATTTATAATTTCAAAGTTATATATCTTTAAAATCAAATCTAAAGATTATTATTAAATAAATAAATAAATAAATTTTTAATATAGATAACAATTTCATAATTTCACATATCCAGTTTTAAATATGAAATTTTCAAACCTGAAAGTTAATAATGTTTAATAATTAAATTTGTAAATTTTAGCACAGTGGATATGTTCATCAGCATTTTGTTACTAGTTATTATTGTTATATTATTACAAACATATAATCACTTGATGTGAAAAACTCATTTCTATCATATTGAGATTGATAATTATGTGAAAATTTATAATATATCAAAATGCAAGAAACATTAATGAAGCTAAAATCAAAATAATGACAAAGGCCTAAATTAACATATTACTGTATATATATATATATATAATTTTCAATAAGTGTTTTTGTATGTATGTTATGAAAATCCTAAAATATGTAAAAAAAAAAAGCACTATATTAATTAAAAAAAAGCACATATGGTTTTTGAATTTGTAGTCTGTAGTGACTCATAATTGGAGGAGAGTTGCAATACATTTCATATTTTATTTCTCATTCTGATGTTTCATAGCACAAACCAGTATACCTAAAAATTTCAAATATAGTTTATTTTGTTCATTTTTAAGGTTCATGAAAAAACACTTGAATACTATTTGCTACTAAGAAGAAATCTTTGCATTTTCATTATCCTATATTTATATATGAAAAAGTTCATAACCCTAACTAACTAGACTGACATTTGTTAAAAGAATATGATGGTTATGATGGAAAGTCAGGATTTGCTTATGAACTGCTGTTCCATTGTTTTTGTAATTGAAATAATTGTGTATACAATAAATTAAATAATTGTGTACAATAATGTATGTATAAGTTAATTTGTTAGTAATCAACTACTAAAATATATCCAGTAAAAAAAAAAAAAATAATAATAATAATAATAAAAACAAGGAAAAGAAGCAGCTCATTCATCAGAGATTTACTTTATTTTTAAAAACTTCATTTCTTGAAATGCATTGTCTCACATCTCATAGTGCCATATCAGGTTTTCCCGACCTCGGCCACACCCGGCGCAGATTAGTAAGTAGTTAGTAAATACGCCAAGGCGTTACTAGGGAAAGTTAGTACCCAGAGTGGTTTCCCGTTGCCTTCTCTTGGATGCAATGTTACGCGAAGGGAACTAATGCCTTCCGGGAGGACTTTTATGGGGAACTGGCCTCCTATTTAGTTGTTATTGGCAAGCCCGGAAAACTCCAAGCAGCCAGCCTGTCCGATCACGGCGCAAACCCATGACCGAACTCCCAGTGTTTAGGGTACGAAGATTACTCGGCCACTGGTGGGTCCGAAATGCATTGTACCATGTCATTTTAGATCATGTTAGTTTCAGATTTTAGCATTTATGAGAATTTTAAAAAGAGACTTCAGAAAATAGACACCATTAATGAATAACTAGAGTTGTTAACACATTATTTTTAAATAGTTATTATACAAGTCCAATTACCTATGTGCCACCTAATTTTAATAATGTGTTTAAATTAAAACTGTATAATTTAAATTTTACCTAATTAATTTTAAACAAATGGATAAAATCCTGTTGCAAAATTCTTGAAAACTTCTGACAATAAATAACAAAAAAAATTAACTAATGCTACTAACACTTTCTAATTCTGAAATGTTCTCATTCTATAATTTTAGTGAAAATTTACTGAACATACATTTAAATAAATACAGTACATAAAAGATTTTAATAAAAATGATAAGAGCCAACAAATCATCTGATTACCAATAATTATTATTTAATCTTAAGCTTCCATCAACAGATAAATAATAATATGGATGTTCAATGTACTGTACATAATTTTATGCAAGCCATGCAAAAAAAAAAAAAAAAAGTATTTTTTTCATTTGTAGTAAAACTTCTATGCTGGGAATTCATTTGTACATAATTGCAACTTACATTAAAAGGAATCATATGCATTATATTCAAATCAGCAGGACATCAAATAAGGCAGTTTAAACTGTATACAGGAAGTATGATAGCTCCTACAGTAATACCTCAACTTACGCGATTTTCAAATCTCGTCGATTCGTCTTTTGTCTGAGCGCCATGCAACTCTTGATTACTCACTCCCCCCACACTATTGTTCAGCTTACATGTTCGGACGTGTCGCGCGGAGTCGACACATAGCTACAATTTATTTTGTGTTATTTATTTCTGTGTTTGTTATATCTACGGAGACTCGAGAGACTATGTGGTGATTTCTTGTAACCATAAACGAATCAAAAGACGAGATAAGATTAATTAACAAGAACATTTATTAGCTTACATACATCTGACTTGGATTTTACACAAATTGGGAAATTATACCCCGACTTATGCAAATTCGACTTACGCGGTTATCGCTTGGTCCCCCTATCATGTAAGTTTGGGGAATTACCGTATATTTAAATTTATTCAATATAAAAAATTTTGAATAAACCTAAGTCTGAGTATATGGATGCACAATAATTATTAAA